CTTCAAGACCTCTTCCAATGGCTGGTATTCCGGCTCTGGTGTGAAGTCGGGCCCAACTCCTTTCAATGCCGCTTGAACTTCCACAGGCATCGTCCCCCATGCCTTACGCAAGGTGGCTTCCACTGCATTGCCCTGCTGCTTGGACTTGTTCATGAGGCCTGGTGGTGGCTCCACAAACTGCTTGTCCTTGCCTCGGAGCCGCCTCGGCTTTCGAGAGGGTGACCTGGGCATCTTCCATGAGGCTTTGCCTGTCGGCCACGGTGTCCCACATTGATTGCACCCCCATCTCTGAGCATTCGCCCTGTCCGCCCAGATCCACGAGGTGTGACAGCCACAGCATGCTATGTAGGGCCTGCGGGATTTCACTTCTCATAGTCCTGGGTGTAGTCCTTCCAGGCCATCTCCATGCCACAGAACAAACTCTGTCAGGCCACCTTCAATCTCAATAACTAGCAAAGGCACGGCCACCAATCTGGTAGGATTGGACCAACTCAAACACAAGGAGGAAGTTCCAGTGCCACCCTCCAACTCAGTGTCAGGTTACCCGGCTTGAGCCACCTGTTACTTGAGCCGAGATCTTGAGCCACTCTCTCTCTCTATCTCTCTCTGTCTCTCTCTCTCTCTCTCTCTGTCTCTTGCTTCTTGAAACGTCAAGTGTGTTCAGGCATAGTGCGTAGACAGGACTGCAGGTCAGGACATGCCAACCATTGGAGGGGTTGCTCATGAGCTGTGGTGACGTTGACTTGTGAGATTTATATATCAAGTATGAATGGAAGTAAGGCCCACTTTTGAACATGCACGCGAATTTGTGATTGCAAGTGTAGGAGTGGTCATCCGAAGTGCTTCAAGAGAGATGATCAGCTTTGTAGTTCTGCTCGTGGAGTCTCATGCCAAGATTGCATGACCCTCAGGCTGTGAAGATGGAGATTGGCGACCCCAGGATGAACAAACGCTATGGCCCTGCCCAGCTGGGAGAGCAGTTGGAGTCGATGAAGGTGCCCGGATGCTTACCCTCCCTCTGGGGCAAACAATCCACATTGATGCACATGTTTCTCACCAACAGCGAATCTTAGGGGTCTTCAGCCATAGTAAAGACTTTTGTTCTGACTGGGCAGGTTCCGAAGCAGGTTCCAAAAAGGTTTCGGAGCAGCTTCTGGAGCGGTTCTGGAGCTGCTGATTGCCGAGGTTTTGTCACCTTGATATGCTGACATGGTGTCATGTTGGTGTGTTATGTGCAATGTGGACGTGTAGGCACGCCAATATGTCGCAACTGTTGGCATGTTGTCATGCTGACGCGGGTCACGCTCAAGTGCTGACATGCTGGCAGTGAGATGCTGACATTTGGCCACGCTGTCATGCTGACATGTCGTCAGGCCCCAGGGCTGGTTTGGGAGCAGGTTCATTGGTTCTTGCTTGTTATGCGGCGTTGTCAGTCAAGCTGAGTGCAGCATTGCCTCAAAAAGGCCCTGGGCAGGTTCTAGAACGAGTGCCGGAGCAGGTTCCGGAGCAAAGCCCGAGCAACTCCGGATCAGGAGTAGGTTTGGATGTTGGGAAGAAACCATCGCCTGGTTTGGTTGAGAACTTCGCATTTTTCTTGTCAGCGCATTGATTTGTACATGGAGTTGTCCGGAATGTTTTTTGAGCAGGTCGAAGGGTTTCTCACTCTTTATTCAGAGGACCTTCCAGGTGAGCATGGTTCCCTGTTGCGGTGCGAATCGTGGTGAAATGTGGTGAAGTTGACGTGCCTGCGTCAGCAGACCAGACATAATGTCTGATGTGACTGCTTGTGCTAAGCACATCACTTGCCGTTGAACTTGCCACATGGCCACTCCCTACTTGTCAGTTTGATGGCGGCCAGTTTTTTCTTGGCGCTAAATGGGCTAAATATCAGCTTTCAAGTAAATTCGTCTTAAGGTAGGGGCACCCCTCAACATCCATGGTTGGTCGCGGAAAACCATCAAGCCATGTTTTGTGAAGACAGCCTCCTTTTCTTGGGGAAACGTTCCAAGGATGAGGTCAATGCGCTGGAGCGGCTCCAAGAGACTCGTGTTGCACAGGGCCTAGCGCCGGATGTGCAGGCATCAGACACTGATGGGATACCACTCATTCTTCCTGCCAGGGCCTTGTGGAAGACCCCCAATCTCTACAGAACGATTTTTGCAGCGAACAGCGGGAGTTATCGCGATCCCAGTATGCAAATAGCTACTAGCAGCTTTATACGTAATTCTGCCAGGGCCTCACAGAGCTCCAGGGCCGTTTGAACTTCTTCATGGAGCTGCTGATTTGCGTCACTGAGGCATTTGGATCCTTTCTTCCGTTTTTGCACTGCTTCTGTGCAGTTGAGGGGAGGAAAAATTTGAGCCGCTTCTGTCAGGTGGTGTCGAAGAATGACCAGAGCACTTCCCTCTCCAGCATTGCTCGTCATCGATCTTCCAAGTACCGCGAAGAAAAACGACCAGTCTTTCCAGGCTTGAGCGAGGCCAGCTAATGACTGTGAGGCTACGAGAGCTGCTGAAGCAGTGGTTATCACTCTTGCTTAAGCAAGTTTTGGTTTGTGGCCGGAATAGGGGGAGAGCAACATGGGGTTTTCTTTTGCAAGGCTTTCATTGATGCAAAATGAAAGGTCGACAGGGTGAGGACTCGCAGGATTCAAAAGCCATTGATTGACAGAAGGTAATATCAAAGTGCCGCTTTCCCACTATATAAAATATCACACACTTATTGACATGCATACTGACTCGAATGCCGCTCGCCACATGGCAACCTAAGGAACCAGAATCCTGAAAGGTCAGGAGAGGGGGCCTGGGCACCTTTAGTTAAAGGCCAAAACTCAAGCTCAACGAGGCGACGATCAGGTCGAGATGACGTCGTACGCTCTTGTCTGCCACGTGCACTAGCCCTTTAGGGAAGAGTAGAGTCACAACTTGTGAACACCACAAAAGGAAAGCAGATACATAGTTCTGGCGTTCCAGAACTATATCACAGTGCAACAGATGCGTCTTCGTTGGCTGGAGACATCTGAAGCACACTCCAGCCCCCTGCCGCATAAAAGTAATCCGAAAGGCTCCCTGTGAGCTCAAGGGTTACACACATATATAATACCTACATGAAGTACAAAGATAGATTTATATATCAGTGATCTGCAACGTTCCTATACAACGAAGGCCCAGGTGGAGCTGGCCGAATCATCGCCGCTGCCCCCCGATCGAGGGCCGGCAGGCATGGGCCGCCGAGAGGCAGGGAAGCCTGTGCAACGGCGTTTCTTCGGAAGGTCGAAAACTGTCAAACAATTTCATTTTTTAAACACACAATTCTCCAGTAGAAAACGATCAAAAACTTTTGAGCCGTCTATTAGACAGAGCTGCTGTTGGAGAAGGGTCGAAGACGAAGCCGTTAAGCTGGTGGCATCGCCATCTCGGCTGGGAAACCGTACGAACCAAACATAGTAGAGAAAGATACGTGTAGCCAGGCTTCAGATTTCCAAGTCCTTGATTGTTGAGGTTTCAGCACTGATTTTCTTTTCTGAATTGGTGGTAGTCACCCTTGGTCATAAGATTCCACCTTGATCCAGTTACTGTATTTTAGGGGTGTTTTTGCTTCAACTTCATTCTCATCCTTCCTTTTATCCACCCTCCTCCTCCTTCTCATCAATTCCCATCCGTCCTCATCCTCATCAAGTGTCTCATCCGTACCGTACTGACGCCTGTCACCCTTGTGGCTACCTTTCGTGCTGCTTGCCCTCAAGTCGGCTCGTCAACCCTTCAAGCCTTGACAGGTGCCGCTCAGCCAGCTGCGTGAGGAGATTGCCGAGGAGCGGAAGCAGGGTGGCCAAGAGCAAATGAATAGAAGCCTGGAAAACTACACTCCAAAGGATTCCAAAGAAATATTGAAGTACCTTGTGCCATTGCACCGTTGAGGCTGTGTTTTGCATATTTATTATTGCTAAGTCAGAGTTCAGTACTGTCACCCATCTCTCGATACATCAGACAACTGCCCCACTGCAGGCTGCAGGAAAGATGCCGATTCCAGAGCTAGCCCATTTTACTAGTTTTCACGAAGTAGACCTCAGACTTTTGAGCTGGTTAGCGAATAGCTCAGTTTCTGAAGAATGGAGATCGTATGGCTGAGGCGTTTCATTGCCTACCACCTGTTGAGGCTCCACACCAACTCACCGCGAACGTGGTGAGGCTAAGGTGCATTTCATAGAGTGTTCCACTCTATGACCTTGAGGTTAACGATGACTCACCATATGTGATCCCTATGCATTTCTTGATGTTTCTTCGATTCTTTTCCCTATGTATATATTTCTTGTTGCGCATTGCCAGTGTTCTTGTTTTTGCTTGCATTCGGGCCTAACCAAACATTACAGCTGAAAGACCATGTCAATCCAACAACTGTTCAATTTGGTAGGCATGGGATGAGAGTTTGGTCACAGCGATCATTCTGATTGACCGATAGTCTTAGAGTGCATGCAGGCTCTTGCAGATGCAATCTTTTCCGCTGTAAAGTGCGTCGATATGAGTGGATACCGTGGGCTGTTGGGATCCTTTGCTCCCTGAAGGACGACCTGAGAAAGATGACCGACCGTTGTAACGCTTGCAGCCCTAATACGGGGCAATGAGCAAGACTTTTTACAGATTCTAGAGTGAATTTGCCGCCTGGTCTTTCTGATGTTTTGCCAAACAGCAAGCGGTAGAGAAAGCAACAAATGTGAAACTAATGGTGCTTCTGCGGAGTTGTTCACTTTCTAGCTTGTCTCTCCCCACCGGGTTAGGAGCTGGCAAGTGCTAGTTCGGAACAGAGCCACTACTCTGCAAGATGTCGTTTGAAAGCCGAGCTGGAAAATGCTGCAAACAGTCGTCAATCTGGGTACCTCAAGTGTATTGGAATCCCAAAATCTGACTTCTGGACACGTGTTGCCGCTCTGCAAAGACAACATTGCCAAGACCTGGCTTGGTAGAAGGATGAAGCATGCAACAATGCAGTGCAATGCTTGGAAGGTGGACGATGGGAAGGATGATCCAGAGAGCTCTCGGGGAAGGCGTGGAAAACGCAAGGAGAACAGTTAGACCCCTTTGAACTTCACCTTCTTTTTCCGTAAGTCTTCCTTCAGGACTTGAGCACTCGGAGAAGACACATGGAGAAACCATCAGAGATGCATTTTGTTGGCTCAACATGGCTCAACTCGCTGAGCATCAACTCCTTGCCGCAAGAGGTTCTTCAAGTCCCAAAAGGTGTTTGAATGCGTTCACTTTTTTCGTTCCCTCCAGGCTTTCGACTTTTCTGAGCACCCGTTTCTCCTGCCCCATTTTACGGGAGGCGAGCGCAGTCATGTGTTTACAGTACATATAAACGCCACAGACATGCCTCCAATGGAGAATGCTTTGGGAGGGTTCACTGAAGATCTCCGTACCAGGTAGAGCACCAGAGAGGTTTCCTTCATCGCCTGGATTTGACCTCAATGGTCCGACTGTTCTTCAAAAATATCACAAGACTTCTAATGATCACGTTTTGGACTCTTTGATGCCAAGGATGTCCCTACATCCGGGCTGATCTTGGTGGCGAAGGAGCATCGAGCCTACTACGCCGGCAGCTCGGAAGAACTTGCAACAAACACTGAAGTTCAACGAGCTGGAAGCGAGAAAGCATCGGAGTATCTTCTAGTGAGGACTTGCAACTTCAATTGGCTGCTGGGCAGGTGGTGTCTTGACTGGAAGGGGCCTGCCTCCAAAATAGTTCTGTACTCCACTTGTGGATTCAGCCATGCACCTGACATTGCTTTAGAAGAGCATGTTTGGCCTCCGGCATTGCATTAAATCAGTCGTCCATCGTCAAGTGAGCTAGGCCCTAGGAAACCCGTCAGCAATATCCTAGGGCCCTAGGGAAAGAAAGCGACAAAAGCATGATAATAAGCGAACATCAAGCAAAAAAAAGGTGAACATAAAGCGAACAAAAAGCAAAAAAACGACAAACACGCAAGCTACATTTGTTGCTTTTTTGTTTGCTTTATTTTGCTATTTTTTTGCATTTATTGTGCCTTTTGTTGTGCTTTATTTTTGCATTGTTTTTGCTTTTTGCTTTTGTTTTGCATTTTTTTTGCATTTTCCTTTTTCTTCACACGAATACTTTGATGGTTGGTCATGTATGGCTGCCATTGCTTAACACAAAGCTAGGGACTTAAGGTGAGGTCTAACAACTGACAATCCGGCTTGCGTGTATAGTATAGCATAGCAAGACGGCTGGGAGATGGTGACTCACCCAAGGCCAGAGAATATGAGACTTGGTGGCAATATGGTGGCACTGGCGAAGCGGTATTAATATATTCTTGATCTTCTAAATCTTCATCATCATCACTATCAGTTGGTGACTTACTTGGTGCTATTGTTTCTATTGTTGGTGTCAATGATGGTGATAATGTTGGATTTAATGTAGCTGATACCTGATACTGATACAAAAGTGAAAGCAATATTAAAGAAACTGGAGAAGGTAAGCACGTGGAGCAGAAGGGAAGTTGAAGGGGAGGATTGGACAAATTCACCCCTTTCATTTTAATATAAACATATTCTTTCCAAGTAGCACTATCAAATAATGTGCTTTGCAATCCACCAATAATACCACCAACAATATCATACTGTAAATGATAGTATATCCAACAATATCTGAACCAATAATATATCCAACAATCACCACAACAATTACATCACAAATAAAATCACCAACAGTGTGTCCAACAATAACTCCAAGTGTAATGACACCAACAATAATGTCACCAACAATATCTGAAGCACAAATATCACAAACAATATCAGTTTGTATGGAGGACCCCTCGAGAACATCAAAGAAATTCATGAAAACAGAGAGAGAGAGAGAGAGCGAGAGAGAGAGAGAGAGAGAGAAAGAGAGAGAGAGAGAGCTAGCTAGCGACTTGCAATGGAATGAGGTTGTTCTGTGCCATGGGCGGCTTCCTGTGAAGGCCAATGACGAGCGTTGCATTGATGCGCGGCTGGACTGGGGCCTGTGGGGTCGCGATGTGCCCAGTGGCCTGCCTGCACGTTCTTGAGGTCCGGAACAATTATTGGAAACACACGGCAAAGACGTGGTTTACTGGCCGCAGCTCCGCATTGGACCATGCTTCATTTTATGGAAACTTCATGGCACAGCGATTGGTTTCTATCGTCCATCTCCTCTCCGAGCCACATTCGGGCTTGATTCTGGGAGCAGCCCAGGTGTGGTGTGCGGACATGGAAAACCAGCCCGCACCAGGCTGATGAACGTTGCAATGAGCGGATGAGTTGTATAATGAGTGTTCAGTCAACCCTTGGCTAGAATAGACCAGATCAATTTCTTTAGACATTTGGCGCCATGATTGTTCAGGGTTCGGGTCCTGGATCACGTAGAGAGCAGTGGCCGCGCCCTTTGCTTGCTCACCGTGCTCATCGACACTGGCCGGAGGCTCGGATTTGTCGCAGTACGATTTTGCTGTCCTGCACGTCGCGATTCCTCAATGTTGGCAAATGCCACTATGTCCGACTGTGCCCCCATGTCTTTCAACTGTCCTGGCCGCCTGTGTCGACTTACACCGTGTTTGGCTGATTGTCGCTGCGCTGTTCTGGCTTCTGTCTCCCATGGTAGGTAGGTTTTGAACACTGGTCTGCTGCACAATGTAGAAGGACGCTTGTACATGACCTGGCCAGGCACCAGATCCGTGTGCACATGGCTCACATAGGCCACCCGGTAGCTGGTGATGGCAAGTACATGTGCCAGAAACTTAGCCTGCATGTGACTGTCTTGTTATGCATGCATGTATGTATATATATAATATATATATATATTCGGATCGGGTGATGGGGCACTGGGGCAATTTAGCAAGGCCTTGAGACCCTCAAAGAGGATGCTTGGTCTCCGCGGACCTGGCTACATCGCTACCGGCTGTGCTTTCGAGCTAGGCCACTCACTCAATCCCGGGTTGGGTGTTCAAAGCAAATGGCAAAGCTGTTGGAGACCAAATTTAGTATTGCCACAAAGTGAGGTTGTACCGTGAGCAATTAGTGGTGCCTACAAAATGCTCGGGCCAAGACAGTGCCCCTCCGGCAGGTCAGATATTGGCAGGCCAGAAGTCCATGAGGTGAGCATGGCCCGCAGGGGAGGGACTTCTTCAGCCGGGAGCTTGCAACTAGGAGCAGTCAAAGCCTAGTATATAGAGTTGACCACCAGCGGAGATGCAATCATCAGATTTTCAAGATGTTGTGCGCTTTCAATATCGCACAGTCCAAGGCCAGAGAGGCACCAGATTGCATTCTGCAACAAATGACTGTTGAAATGCAATCCCCCCTGTGCTAACCGCAGCAATGAAGCCTCATTGCAATTTCCGAAAGAGGGCACTCGTTGGTCTAGATGAAGGTACATAGTCGCTGCCACGCCCTGAAGGTGATTGAAGCGCTTCCGACAGATCTCCGGGAGGCAGCTTTGAGGCAGTGAAACAAGGGAGAGAGATGGAGAGGGTCGAAGAGATCCCATCGAGCACAGATGGACGAACATGCAGTGCCAACAAAATTCGAAGACTCAAAGAGTGTTCTCATTTCAGGCACTTTCAACATCATCCTGGCTCACCGTGCTGACCTCAGGCTGAGCTTGCTGATGGGCTCGAAGCCAGTTCGTAAGGAACTGGAAGGATACTTTCTGGCTTTTTGTGCTGTAACTGTAGCTGACAAGTTCAAGCGACCAGGCTTGCATACTGGTGCACGGCCGAAGATACAGCTGCCTACTTGAAGAAAAAAGAAACCGTTGAATTGGCTGCTTTGTGGGTGTTGACCAGCACTTACTGTAGTTACACGATGTTACACGAGCTTTTTTCAAGAAGTGTTCTTGATTGGATGCCTGATTCGATTTATGATCAGCGGCTTGGACGGGGAGGCATGGGTGCAAGAGATGAAGGCTGCAGTGACATTGCATACACATGCACGACTAAAAACATCGAAGAACTTTCAAACACCTTGTTGAACAACATATGTCGAACTGAACGCAACCAGACTGCTGGCGACCTTTTGTCATGTCGACCGACATCGAAGATGCACAGGAGACGACCCATTACGTACCGGAAGGCATACCCCCACGAAGTACAAGACCCTCCCGGCGCCACCTGTATCAGCCTTTGACAAATTTGGCAGCTTCTGGTGGAGGCTGCCCAAATGATCCCCGGGAAAACGTTGCTGCTCAAGCATCCACTGGCCGCCTGGTTTGGACTTTTGTTGTTGGTGGCGTTCTTGGGGCTGCTGCAGCAGGCTGCTTCCTTTTCAGCGCCAACCGTCAGAAAAGAGCTCGTAGCATTGTCTCGGGGATTGCGACCATCAATGCTTGTGAAGGCAAAGACTGTACGAGCTTTGATTGCGAAAAAGATCAAGGTGATTGGGTCGAGAAGTGGTCAAATTCCAAGAAGCTCTATTGCTGTGGGATGACCTGCCTGGAGAAGTCCATAAGGTTGAAGAAGAAGATGCCAAGTGGACCTCCTGCTGTGCCGAAGCTCTCAGTGCCGCATTCCACGACTACGACTACGACTACTACGAACACCACCACAATTAAAGTGACTACGACTAGCACCGCTGAGACTACTGCAGCGACAACTTCCAAACACGCAGTGGTGCACCCTGAGCCCAAGATCCATGCACCCTCGCTTTTAAAAGGGATCAGCTATTGCCCAGTGCCGGTGAAAGCCACAGAGTCATTGAAGTCTGATGATTGGATGACAGACTTAGCCAAACCACTCTGGAGTGCATCTGGGCGTGGAGACCTTCATGTCATGCATTCACTAGGCGGGATAGAAGTGCATGTAATGACATAAACTCAGGCCCGTTTCTTGGCTGAAGTTTAACGTGCCAGGTGCCAATGCGGTTCGGCTCTATGGCAACAATCCGGAGCTTGACCACGCGCACTTCCTGGATGAAGCGCATGCAAATGATTTGAAGGTGATCCCTGGCATGAGCGATTTCCCCTACTACCAAGACCCGACAACAAGCTGCGTTGCCACACAATATAACTGCTTCAGCCAAATCAAGAAGCAGTATGGAGAGAATCTGAAGAATGGCTTCTTGACAAAAGAGAAGCAGTACCATCCAGCATTGAGGTACTTCATTTTGATCAATGAGCCTGATCTGAAGATGCCTCGCACCGCCAACAGTGCTCCCGGGGATGCACCTTGGTCGCAAGAAAGCCCCAAGTTTACGAAGTCTTCGAAGTTCAGAGCCTTCAACTTGGGACTTTCCCGTGAGTGGCACGGATTCTTTCCGATTCCACGGACACGACGTACAACAAAAGCATCGACTCACCTCGACTCCTCGACCTTTTGTCCTTTTGTTTCGCGTCGACTCACCGGGACTCACCAGGACTCAGCGAGTCCTTTTCGATTCGCAGCCTTAGGCTGCGTTGCTGGCAAAAGCCATCGTCAGCTCTTTCGACGCTGTGTTGGATGCTGAGAAGGATGCACGAGTAGTGGGGACCGTCATCAACTTTACAACCACCTTCTCCTATGCCATTTGCACTGCCTGCCCCAACAACGAGGGTCTGCCCGCCTTGGGGCAAATGCTGCTGATTGAGGATGCCATGAGGTCCCTTGGTTTCCTTATTCTGCAACCAGTCTGTGTCAAGGGACAGGATGCCTGAATTGCTTAGCCTCCTAGTGCATTCCCTCCCGCCAGACTTTTTGGCGCGCTTTTCCAGTGCAGGTCTCCCGAAAAGTATGGCTACAGGCCAAAGCACCAGCTCTACCCGGCCTACCTTCAGAGATGGGTCAACAGCTTTAACACAGCCAACTCAGCGGCCGATCTTCAGCGTGCATTCTTTACTCACTACGGGAAGGTCTTCCCCACGACTCCCGTCTTCATTGGTGACCTTGGCGTGAAACCAGGGCCCTTGTAGTGGCCTCGCGTCACGCTATTTGGAATCATTTGCAGATTGCCTCAAGACCCATGCTAACCTTCAGACAAAGAGAGAAACTTGTGATCCTTCTAGTCCGACTTGGCAGTCCAAGGCGAGTATCATAAGCCGGAAGGACCGGTGCTCGCTGAAGTCAAGGATATTCTACACCTTACCACCACCATGCCGCTATTTCTAGGCATCTCTTTCTTCGAGTTCCAAGTTGCATACTGGAAGGGTGGCGCAGAAATGGCCTTCGGCCTATTTGGGCTCGGTGGCTACCCCATTGGCCACTTCAAGTATGCAGATGGAGCAAAATATACATCTTGGTGCTTGCAGCCTCTTGGATCTTCTTAACTTCAACTGTCAAAGTTCGTTCTACAGGAGCAAGAAGGGAATCATGTATAGACAGAAAAGTTCCCGGCAAGAGACCCCAAACAGTGTAAAGTTCGAAAAGGACGAGTCCGAGGTAGAGCACCCACGATCACAGGGGAAGAGAAAGTAGAGGAAAAAGTAAGCGGTAGAGGGAAGAGATGGGAAGAGATAGGTAACACTTGCAAATGCAAAACATATGACTTCAAACGAAAAAGAGCAGGCAAGTTGAAACTGCCAAAAGCAAACGAAACGATCTCTACTTCTAGAGGCCTAGAAACAATACTCTCTAGGCGACAGAGGTCTAGAGGTCGGGAAAGCGATCCAAGTAGAGATTACTGCAAGAGAGATCTAGATACAAAGCTCCATGCCTAGATCCAGACAATTGGTTGTATTGTAGAGGTCTCTAGGTCTAGAGGTCCACAAATCGAGAAATCGAGAGAACGATCTGAAGGTCTATAGAGATCAAAGGAATTAAGAGATCTAGGCCGAGTGCTTCGATGCAAAAGGTCTTAAAATTTAGATCTAGGTCGCGAGGTGCGGAGGTCTAGCGATCTAGAGGTGTTGAGATTCTCTGCTATAGGTCTAGAAGCAACAATATAGTCTCAAGGCTGGAGTTTGAGAGGTCTGGAGATCTAGAGGTTGAGGTCTAGAGAGCACACATATGAGAACACAATGATCAGAACACACATCTGAGAACACGCGTCAGATAGCACAGAATGCGATCTAGAGGTCTTGAGATCGAGAGCGTCGAGGTGCACACCGTGCTGAGCCTGCTACGAAATCTGCACTTCGAGGTTCACAAAGTGCTGCGCCTGCTACGAAATCTGCACTTCCAGGTTCACAAAGTGCTGTGCCTGCCACGAAAT